CTCATGAATACTTGTTTTAAGAGATTTATTTTTTATGTAGTAATTACATATAGAACATATAGTCTTAAATTTTACAAATAATTGAAATCAATAAAGTTCTTATTAACTGAACTTTGTCTGAGAATGTAAAGTTTGTTCCACATACAAATATATCATATTAACATAAAGTTTATTGCTTTTAATGTTAATGGAAAATGAGAACTCTGAAGATAAAATATTCAATGTAAATTCTAACTCTTTTTATTTATCAAATAAATTCATTCAATGAAAGTCTTTCAATGGAAGTAGAATTCTAATTTATAAATTGGATAAATCTTATTAATTTATAATGAAAAATATTTAAAATGGCAATCTAAAAATATAATGAACATAGATGTTCATTTTCATCAATCAAAAGTTTTTCTATGTTTCTAATGATGCTTTATAATCAAAAGCTTGTGTATGTATTATAGATTGTAGATATAATTCTATGTTTCCAAAGAAGCTTTATGCTGGGAAGTTAATTTTGTTTTCATTTCTGCATGGAAGTGAATGAATACCATGGGAACTTTTGCAACCGCATTCCAACAGATGTTGACCTACCAGGGGTCTGTATACTTTTCAAATGATTTATTTGTTATCCTCCATGAGGATTGTCCTTGTTTGACTAACTGATTTACAGATTACCAGAGAGTTAACAATGACCCATTTAAGTTGTTTGCTAATAATTAGAAAGTTAATAGCAATATGCATCTGAACTGTTTTAGAGAGGTTTTTTATTTGTCCCTTTAATTTTTGGTTGGGGGGAAGGAGGGTAACATTAGGTATCTTAGAATCATTAGTGGGGTGGCTTATTTATCCCTTTAAATTGTTTTATCTTTGGTGTTTGTTCCACTTCCTGATCTATACTAGTTTATTTTTGCTATAACTAGTCCTATTTATAGTTTTATCTTTCTAACTGAGTTGGCTTTTTTTTTTTTTTAAAATACTTCCTTGATTGGCACTGAGCTTCTTTGGTTGGTTTCTTGTTCTTGTCTCAACGTTTATTCTGATCCACACTCTTCTTGTTTATCATGCAGATTGAGTCTGACAAAACTATAATGGTAACATTAAAACACGATGGTAAACTGCAGGATCGATCAGAGTGTGCTTTTCAGGTACCATCTACTTTCCTTGCTCAGTATCAATAACTTATATAATAATGTCTTCAATTTGCACCTTGTTTGTTGGTGAATGATGATTTTCTTATGCTTTAATTCAACCATTCTTTCATTATCTAGTGTGCTCCTCTTTATACCACTGTGCACGGTCAAAGAAGAATCTGGGTTTCAACTTTATCTTCGCCATGCATAAGCAGCATAACTAAATTGTTCTGAGCAACTGACTTAGATACACAATTTGTATGCTATTTGAAGCAAGGTAATTACACCAACTTACATGCATTGACTTAGTGTTCAATAGTTAGTATTCAATAGTGTCTTTTTGGCCCTCCACAATAATTTTTCATTATATCTGAAGCTTTAATATGGAACTATTATGTGCTTTGAAGGAATCCGCTCCAATATGGCGTTGTTATACTTTTATTCTTCTAGGAGTTGTATATTTCCAGGTATCTAATTTTAAGTTTCATCAGAAAGAAGAGTTAACTCTATGTATTTTCTTTTCCTTTTGCTATGCCTTCAGTGGCAAACGAAATATCTTCTACTGCACTCTTGCAAGTACAGGAAAAAGTGACAAATATCTGCATCAATAATTTGCTTGCATACCATAAATTTTTCACCAAAGCAACAACATCTGGACAGGTTATTCTTCCCGAAGCACTAAAGCTTTTGCCTCTTTACACCCTTGGTAAATTCCAATCTATGCATTAATTTGTTCTGATCAATACTGTTTGTTAACATTCATTGTGCCTAAGGTTAAACCTCTTTTGAGTTTTAGATTTTCTTACCCCTGCAAAATGCTTGTATGAGGGTTGTGGATTTTAGAGCTTCAAGACATGCCTTGGGCTCACAACAGTTTCGATTGGATTTACCTATTAGGCTCGGGGATTGATAATTTTTTTTTTCTTTCACTATTTTTTTTCAGCACTAATCAGAAGTACTGGATTGCACTTTGATGGGAGAATAGATGATTGGTCATTTTGGATCAGTTATGTTTCCCACATTTCTACTCATTCAGCAATTTGCCTGGTGCTCCCATGGATGATTGCTGTTCATAACCTTGATCTGGAGGTATAAACTGGTTTACCTCTCTCTCTCTCTCTCTGTCCCTCTTTGGGTGGGATGGTGGGGTTTGTATTTTAATCTTTCTTGCAAAAGTATCATTGAAATCAATTTCTAACTTTTTGCCTGTTTGCTTGATGATAGGAGGAGTATGGATCTGTTATTCCTCCAATACTTCCTCTTTCAAGTAATTATGTGAATGAGGAGGGCATTTATCTTCTTGAAAACGGTGTTGATGGCTTAATATACATTGGGAGCTTGGTGGATTCAGATATATTGAGACAACTATTTGGCATTTCTTCAATTGACGAAACACCTACCCTGGTATTATGCTTAATGATCTATACTATATGATGATATTATCGAGATAGAAAAAAGTTGCATTTTACTTGTTTTTAAACAAAATTAGAAAGTTCGACATAAAGTTTGAATTTTTCTCTTGTAATGTTGATAACATAAATTTTGTTAAATTTTCAAAAAGGAACTGCAATCATGCATGTGACTGCGATTATGTCTATATTTCAGGTTTATATCATTTTCAGTTACTGTATAAATTATTAGATCTAAACATGTTCAATCAGAATCTCCAACCCTTAGCTAAGGGACATAATTAGGTTTGTTATCTACCACAAAATAGGCTACTGTAGGAGACTTCTAACTATTTTAAAGACTAGCATATGACCTCTATTTGGCATCTTTATTTGGCAGAAGTGTTCATTTTATAATTTAGATGTCCAAGATGAAAATAGTGAAAAGCTATTTCCGTCTAGGTTTCACCTGATGCAGTCATTTAGAAAGAAAGAAAATATTGATGGCAAATAAAAATAGGAACTGATTTCCTAAGGAGAAAGAAAGAAAATATTGATGGCAAATAAAAATAGGAACTGATTTCCTAAGGAGCATAGCGAAACAATAGAACTGACCATCCAAAACCAGTCAATCTTAATGATATAAAAATTCTTAAACTCCTTCCTTCTGAGAATTCGACATTGAAGATTAATGGTAAATGGAAATTTTAACCTATGTCACTGAGAGGTTGTTTCTAACTTAATTCCTGCACAAGATAAGTGCTGCTTAACGGATAAATAGGATGCAGTTGGTGCTAAATTTAATCCTTTAACCATTTTTTCTCTCCTCAAAATGAAAGGTAGAAAAGAAGAAAAAGGAAAACAAATGGATGTTTCTTTTGTTGTGATTAAGAAGTTGGACCACGAATCATCATAAATGAATCTAGTTGCATTGTTCTCAATCCAGCTTCAGATGACAGCCGTAGATTATATTTTCTTGTTTACTTACCTTCTTTCCCTCACCCTCTCCTTTCAGTAAAGAAGGGACAAGATCTATGTTTATCATCTCATGTTCACTGAGACAAATCAATCAATGCACCTTGTCGTGAGAGAAGTGCTCGGATAGAAGTGCGGATCCTCTGTGTTAATGTCTTTCAACTCTTTTATTTGAGTGCTAAGATTTAAGCAAAGGCTATAGGTTTAGTATGTTTATTGGGATTGTAAAGTAAGAGGCGTTTTTCAGAAATGTATTAGAAAGATGTAATATGTAGGCAACTTTACAGTCACACAGCTTGCTCTTTGTAACTAATAATTTATTTGCACTCAGTTTGTACTGGAGCAATATGATAATCCATTATCGAAGAAGCTAAATCGTGTGGTAAATGAGATACAGCGCCAATGGTGGTCCTACCTCCGGTATGATTGAGTTGTTTTTGGTAGCTTTTCTCATCTTAGAGGGAAATAAACCATTTTTCTGATTGTAAATGATTCAATTACTTGTTCCTATTGAGATAATCTCAGGTATACACTTTTGTAACATCTGTTTCTTGTTTTCCTTGCTTGTGCAGATGGACTTTGTGCCAAAAAGGAGACCCGTCAGGTATGTTAGTTAATGCAATCCATTAATTACAAAGGAGAAACAGAAAGTCCATTGAAATTTCTTCGTCGCATAGCTTTCTTCTCTTTTTCTAATGCTAGACCTTTCTCACATGGCATAGTTTGTGCTATCGCATGACTTCTTGTTGTAGGCATTTAATTCTATTAATGAATAATGTTACTTGGGAATCAAATGGTAACATGTTTTGTTTGTTTGAATTCCTTCTTCCCAGGGATGTTGTTCATCTCATACTTGGTTGAAGACCCGAATCCGAAGGGTGGTCAATCTTATTCTGAGTTCTTGGCATATCTCCATAGGAATATTCAATAAAAAATGCCTTGATCACTCATTTGGGTTACAAATTCAATCAAAGGCGCAAGGCCAGGATGGAACTCAAAATGAGCAGGGAAATGTGTTACATACTGAAAGAAAGCTGAGCCCGGTTGTTTGAGGAACGACGCAGAAACTAGCGCAAAACATTAAATTTATGTTAACCTCAATTTTCTCCTTCCTAGGAAGGATAACCCGACAAGGACAAAAAGTATCTGGGCTTCTCAACTCTCATTCACCAAAAATCAAACAGAAGATGAATGAATTTTAGCATATTCGTGATTTGTTCATTTAATCAACGAATTTTGAAATGTTAATTGTACTTGCTTAATAAACAAAAATAAACAAACATCTAACACGTTCACCAACCATATTCATTTACATCTCTATCTATATTACACCCCTAACTATATTCAACATAATTTGTCTTTTTTCTTAACAGAAGCACAACCCCAAAACCACAGTTTTATAACTTCCATGGCTTTGACTTGAGATAATGTTACATGTTTATAAAATCTGAGACAAAAGAAATCCATGTCAAAGCCATTTGTTTGTTATCTTCAAAATATTTTTGAAATCCTGAACTTGTAATTAATTATAGCTTTTATTTCTCACTTGATTATTGAAATCAAACAATGCATGCTTAGAAATTAAAAGGGTAGCATTTCACATACTGCTGTCTGTTTCTGGTAATGAAATAATAAAGTGAAGAAATTAATACAAAGTGAACATTTCCTTGGTCTTCTCAAATACTTGTTCTGCAATGACAGCACCTGTACCGTCTGCTTGCTTGATCTCCAGGTGAGCCTTCTGGTAAAAGCCGGTACCTCTCAAGGCATCAGCAATGAAATCATCAAACCCAATTGCTATGGCTGCTTCAGCTTTGGCTCCATAAACCAGCCTCTGCTTACAAAAGATGAAAGACAAGTGAGAATTTTGCTGAAGAAATGTTATATCTAAAGGAACGACTAGTTTCGCTGCTAGACCTTGATTCTTGATAGATGGATGGCACCAAAGCACATCGGACAAGGCTCACAGGAAGCATATATTTCACATTCTGAGAGCTCAATCTGATTAAGCTTCTTACATGCCTGACATAGATATCCACCCAAACCATTAGTACATGTTGATATATTTGTTCTGATCTTATGAATACTAAACATTCTGATATAGCAATGTTTAACCAACATTATAATCATGCAAAATTATTGACTATTTCATGACTTCTAGAAATGTAGCCAACTAATAAAACAAAGCCATAGTAGTTGATACTAAACTTCGACCAAATCAGATTATGAGATTGATCTAAAAAGAACATAGCAAATAGATCACAGTAGAATCACAGGCGTATGCTGAAAATTCCCCAAAATGCTGCATATAATATCTATAGGTTCCATGTAAGTTATCACATTTTCTTACAATTAACAAACAACATTTGAGCTTTTTGTAACATTTCACGGTTTCAACAATTGGAACTCTGAGCAAACAGATAAATTGTATAAGGCAATTTTAATATTTTTTGTTTTGGCCTAACCTCTCTAATAGCAGTAACCTCTGCATGGGCAGTAGGGTCAGTGTTTCTCAAAACCATGTTGTGACAACTCACAACTACTTCATCATTGCTAACAACAACTGCACCAAATGGGCCTCCATCTTTACATTCAACCCCTTTATATGCTTCTGCAATTGCTTGTGTTAAGAATTTGTGGTCTCTATCCTGTACAACTGGTTGAACAATAAACAGAAAAGAATATTTTTTATGACCAAACATCAAGCATGATGGTTTTCCAAAATCATTGCCCTCTTAATAAAGGAAAAGAAATCTAATTCATCAAGCATATGAATCATTACTAAGTAATATCCAGGTGATGGAGAAAGGATTGTAGCTAAAAGGATTGTATGAAACAGTCAAATGCACAAGTCTATTGAAATAAATAATCACCATTTAATTATTACATGTGATAGGTAATAAATAGTTGACTGTTTCTAATAAAACGATTACGTGACATGATTTGAATGGAAGGGACATATGCCAACATGGAGTAACTGTGTCATATAATCCTTTTTCCTAGGCGATGTATCATATCATCACTGTGATCCATAAAATGTGACACAGCCAAAAACACTATCAGATATGGAAGTAAAGTCATCTCCATTACTATACCAAAGATGTTAAAACAATATGTAAAATTCAATGAATAAAAAGAATATGCTGATACCAAATAATTTTACTGCTGGAGATCATGAACAGGCCATTTGATATTAGTTCTTAACATTAATCCCAGCAGCCAACTTCTGAAAGACAGTTGAAAAGTTGAATATTACCTTCTTGATGACCAGGAAATGCAGAAGCAACAGAAATGGTTCCATCTTTGGCTTCCAACACTATAAAAAAAAAAAGCAAAAGGAATATTAATATTGTAACAAATCAATTAGTATCTATAACAGATACAAAATTGATGCTTGCAAACAGAAACAGCGACAAATATATCTAAAAACATATAGATAAAGCCTAAGAACTGTTAACTTTTTACGAAAGGAGGAAAAAGTCAATTCCTTTTTCAATTCCAGGCATTCCAAAATTCAATTGATCTCTCTTAATGCTAAAACTGGAAATGAAAAGCGAAGTAGGAAATTTAATTATTCCAAATTCTAGCCAAGTAACACATTTGCAAGAGAATACAGAAATCTTGATGAAAGATCCAAAACCCAACATATAAAAAACATCAAAAGCAAAAAAACAAATCTTGATGAAAGATCAAAAGACAGGATTTGAAGACATAAGGAAAAAAAAAAAACCCAGAAAGAAAAACATACCCTTTGCCTCTTCCATGAGGAAAAAAGAGAAGAAAAATGCAAATTTTGATTGAATCAAGGCAAAGGGTAGTCAACAAAATGGGAGAGGAAGAGAAGATAAATCGAAAGAGAGAGAGAGGAGTAACTTGTCCACGTAATTAAAACATATATATACTTCTGGAGGAGAAAAAGGAAGAGAAAATAAAAACCAAAAAGAAAACCAAAGTTTTAGAAAAAGCACAGGCATGGACGAAAAAGACAAATGGGAATCTTTTTAGGCTAATTCAGTTCGAAACATGAATCACACGCAAAGAAGAAGAAAAAATAAAGCAAATATAAGCAGACCCCACAAGGAAGGGTCCGTAATGGCGTTTTAGCCTAAGGCCATGTGACCTCATTACTTTCATCGCAATATCTTTCAACTATTCTAGTCTCAATTACTATTTTTCTTTTATGAAATTTCAATTTGAATACTATTATAAAGTGGAGAATCAAAGTAAAGGTATTGGTTTGGTGGCTTTGGCTTTTTTATTTTGCCTAAAGAATTTATTTAATTTATTTTTTAGGAGAATGGTATTTTACTTTTTATCTAAAAGTACACAAACATATTGTTCGGTTCACATTTTAACGTAAAATTAAATATTGCTTTAATTTTAAATAAATTCTTTTGACTTCTTTAAAATACAGTATTTTATGAATTAATGTTATGAAATAATGGTTAAATTATAATAATTTTTTTAAATATTTAATATGATATTTATTTTTAATTAACTTCTAATGATAACATTTAATTTAATTAAATTCGTCCAAATGTCTTATTTCCGCAGCTATTTTATGGTATTCAAGTTTGACCTCCTTGATAACAGTGAATGCGATTGATACATCAAGAAACAACGCTAATTACTTGACAGGACTCCACATCTTTATTTCTTGGCTCTACCAAGCCATCTAAATCAGCCATATCCATCAAATAATCCAACCTAATAAAGTTGAACTCATGGTACAGAAGTGGTTCAAAAAATAAAATACAAAAGCAACATTTGAGTTTTAAAGAAAAGCCATCAAAACTCATGGGAAAATCATGGGAAATTGGAATGTATTAGTATTAAATATTTCAAAATTCTGCTTTGGAAGAATAATCAAACTCTCAAAGTATAAGACAAATCAAGATAATGATATAACTAAAGATCAGATAGCACCCAAAAAGCGGTTTCCAAAAATACATATTCAAGAACAGCTAAGAACTTGAGACTAGTAAGGAAATGCTGTTGAAAAGCATTGGCTAGTATTCTACAAGCACGACCTTCACCTCTTCTTTGCTCCCTTTTAGTTCACTTCTTCTTTGATGCTTCACTGGCCTTGGTCTATTGAACAAGCAAAACAGTCGAATAATCATCCCCGTTGGTCATGAAGTGTCAAAAAAATGATAGCAGTTCATGTAAGCTCTCATAAAATATCAACTAATCTTACCTTCTTTACTCCACGGATCTTCTTAGCCCTGTTCTTCCTTTCCTTCATTTGCTTCCTTGATTTCTCTACCTTGGTATCAAGTCCATTCTGAAACAGCAACACAAATAATTAGTGTCTTGCATCATATTAGGAGTCCTTTAAAGAGACACCAATGCAAATGCAACTCATAATTAACAATAGAAAGACAAAAGAAATGCAATGGGGAACCAAAAAAAAAAAAAGAGAAATGCAAGAGAGTTCAGAAGGTTAACTAACAGGCCTTAAGAGTTATTAATGAAAACCTATTTCAGATATTAAACTTAAATAGGTGGAAAGTTAAGAACTCTGGGTCAATGCCTTGCATGCTAACTCAAGTTTTCTTCATAAACAGGCAGTTGTCGAGCACAAATTACAACACAAACTCTAGTTCCAAATCCAACTTGTTACTTTTAAAGGCTACGTTGAATCCATGCTCTATAGTGTCACCAAGGAGTCGTTAAAGAAAACAGAAGAAACTGAGCAGTGCTTGAAGTATGAAAAGAGAATTCAGGAAATAAACTAAGTCGAGAAATGAACTTCCATGTATTTCTAATAAATAATAGCACCACATAAAGCAAAGGCAGCTTACACTACTAACAAAGTCAAGAGAAAACGTAACAAAAAACTCACTAGGAAATTACCCTGATCAGCCTGTACTTGGGCTCGTACTTCTTCGCATTCTCAACAGAATCATAAATCAAACCAAATCCAGTAGATTTACCACCTCCAAAATGAGTCCTGAACTTGAACACAAAGATTGAATTGGGATCCTTCACCTCATACATTCCAGAAAGCTTCTCCTTCAGCTCCGCCTAACAACAACACATCGACAAATCAAAAACCATTTCAAACACAAACAATCCAAAAACACTAGCACTTAAGATAAGACTACAATATTATTGGGAAACACTGAATACTTACCTTGGAAACATTGGGCCTCCCAGGATGTAGAACATCAATGACCTACAAAAGAACCAAGCAAATAACAAGTTTCAGCTACCAAATTAACAGTGAATTCAAACAAATATAAGCTCATATTTGATTTCTCAGTTTACCACGAAACAGAACATATTTTCCTATATTAACTGCATCATATTTCATAAGCAAAGTCCTAAATTAAAAATCTTGTTAGCAAAGTAATAAAACCCAACATTTTTGCTAGTATGTTCTAGCAAAGCCGTTCTTTAATAAGATCTAACACTGATACGAAACCCTACCCAGAAAAAGTAATAGGGAAAAAAACATAAAAGATCTAAATAAAAACCCTAAGACTAAAACCTAACATGGACCCATGTTTGGTTACCAAGAAAATGAATGGAAAATGAGTGAAAAGAAAAGGGCACTCACAAATTGTTTCCTGGAAAGAAGCCTGTTGGTCATGAACTTCCTGGTCCTAATAGTCACTGCCTTGTCCGCCATGGCTAAGCTAAAGTCGAGCAGTTAACAGTTGAAGCACCGAAGATTTCAAATCAGCAGCAGCTCAAGAAAGAGAGTAGAAGTAATGAAGAACCTTAGCATTTATAGCATTAGGGTTTCAATGCGGCTGGCTTAAAAATAATAAAATAATAAAATATTATGAATAATATTATTTTTATAATAAGTTATAATTAACTTAATAAAGAGATAATTATTAAAAATTTTTAATAAAAAGGCAACATGATTTTTTATATTTTGTTTTAATTATATTCCTTGAACAAATAAAATATATTAATAATATTTTAAATATATTTCATTCTAATAAATCAAATTTATAATAATTATTCTATTCCATTTTTTCTTTATTTATTATCATTGAATGGTTATTTTTTCTTTATTTCATTTTGATAACAAAATATATCTAATGAAATAAACATTTATATATTATATTTTAAAAAATCTTTTTACTTCTAATAATAGTCAATTTTTTTTATTTAAAATTTTTCGATATCTAATAATTATTTAAATTTTAATTAATTTAAAATCAAATCATATTAAATTTTATTAAAAAGATAAACTTGAGCAAACTCTCTCAAATATTTTTTTTTATTTATAATATTCAAAATAAAAATTTTATTAAAAAAATTAAATTTTTAATCATTTGAATCAATAAAAGTTAACATAAACATTTAATAAATCAAATGTCCCTATGACAAGTAAAGAATAGTAATTAAGTGTTAAGGGCATATGAGGAATGAGGGAGTTATAAGGATAACGATAATAAAATAATTCATATTTATTAAATTTTGATTTAATAAAATCAATTTTTAAAAAGAATTGAGAATCGAAAGATAGATTTTGATTTTTTTTTAAAATTTGGATCGGATTAAAATTATATTTTAGATAATATCGTTTCAATTCTATTTTGGTATATATAAAAAATTATTTTTATTATTCATTTAATTTTATATTTATATATATTATATTAATAAAATTATTATTTAATATTTTATTTTTAAAATTTTAACTTAATAAAATAATTATTTATATAATAAAAATATATTTTAGATATTATTTAAATTAAAAATTTTAATTTAATTTTAAATTAAATATAAAAAATAATACTTTAATATAAAATAAAATTAAAATTTTAAGAGGTCGGATGAGAAAAACCCGTCCCAAACGTCAGATCCCCATCATCATGGAGGAGGCGGAATGGAATTGATCCAGAAGAGTGTTTCTTATTCAGACTTTTTTGCCTCAAGTTATGAATGAATCGAACAATGTTATAAAACGGGAGCGTTTTGGCCTTTTGCCGCTTGTTTTCCTCGTCTTTTTTTTCGCAATGAAAATCAAGCAGGAAAATCCAATCCAACCAAAACCCTAGCTCTAAGAAAACAAAATCTCAGGAAAAATAAATAAAAAAACAATGGCTTTATGGAGGGGTCGTACAGCTTCATGGAATCTCTTCAACAGGCTTCTCCATCCACCGTCTCGCGTTCCATATCGCAGTCTGTCCTCTGGTACTTCCCTCTTTTTCCCCAATCTTTTTTTTTTTATATATTTTTTATTGCAAAATGGCGTCTGATCTTATTTCTCGTTTGGTTTCTGAGAAATCATTTCTCTTGTAAGTTCAAAATTTGAAGCAAAATGAGATAAAAGGTACTAAAACGAATGAAAATTAGTTCTTTAATTTCTAGGGTTTAGAATGCAGAGTTTAGGGTTTATCGCGATTGTTGCATCAAGGAAGAAGAAAAAAAAAAGAAGCTTTAACATCATTTGCTTAAAAAAGAAAAGAAAAGAAATTGAATTGATCTGTTTTTGCAGTTGCGGTTGATGTTCATAATCAATCAATGATTGAGAATATGAAGAGAGATTTACTTAATCTTGACATTAATTCACAAATTGGAAGTTGTATGCCACTTGCTTCAATGCGAATCGGAACTATTATCCACAACATTGAGGTGAACCCCGGTCAAGGTGGAAAGCTAGTCCGGGCGGCTGGAACTTCAGCCAAGATCCTCAAAGAGCCGAAATCAAGATATTGTTTGATTAGGCTGCCGTCCGGTGTTGAAAAGTTGATTGATTCTCGGTGTAGGGCAACGGTTGGTACAGTGTCAAATCCTAGTCATGGAGCTAAGAAGCTTAGGAAGGCTGGACAGAGTCGATGGCTAGGAAGGAGGCCAACAGTTAGGGGAGTCGCGATGAATCCAATTGATCATCCTCATGGTGGTGGTGAGGGTCGGAGTAAAAGTAGTGGGAGTTATGGGAAGACTTCGCGAACTCCTTGGGGCAAACCTTGTAAGTGTGGGTATAAGACTGCTAAAAGCAAGCGCAGAAAGTAATGCTTGATCCATTTGGCATCTAGTTTCTTCATGCATCTTCAACACTCTAATGTTCATTTTTTTGAAGAATTTCTTTTAGTTGAAGAACTCATTGTATGGATTGAGCTGTCGACGTTATATGAAGGTGCATGTCCTTTCTTCTATAGGTTCTGGAATTGGGCTTTATGTCAAATAATTACTTTAGTTCAGCATAGCTGCTTCATTTAATCAATATATCAACTGATATTATAATGTTCATCAGAAGACTGATAATAATGTTTTTTTGCAGCTTCAATTTTGTATGCACTATCTAAATTGATTTGTTCTTCTGTTCTGCCCTGTTTTTGATTGGTTTTTTTCCTGGAAGTTATTTTAGCATGAATAAACAACATATAATGTGTTTCAGAAATCAATTCTAACCATTTAACTTCGGATTCTAAGTGAATTCTGTGTTAAAATTAAGTATTTGTTTAGATGCTTTGCTACTAATCTACTGCAAGCATTCATTAGATTGCAACTTTTTATTAGCACTTTCATCAATCAGTGACAATCTTGGTGGCCACACATAAAGAACTTGTATTGGCTAGCATACATAGATTTAAAGAATGAGTTACAAAAACTTTCCTCCATCCCAGCGAGCTTGAGGAGTGAGAACGATATGGCTCTTGTTAGGTTTTACTTGTACTTTATACAGTTTCCAGTTTTTATTGTTGATTTATCTTTGATTCTCATGCAGGGAGTTGAGGAAAAACTCCTTAAAGCAGGTGTCTTGGATTTACATAAGAGTTAATAGAGAATTGTTATAGGATATAGACAAAGGATGGATTGAGCTAATCAATGTCTTATTAAAGAGTTAACATAGTAGATTCACTGAGAAGGGTTTGCAGTAGAGAAGGATGAACCATTCTCTTATTAAAAGCATTAAAACCCATTGAAGAATATGTTTCAATTTCCCAGTAACATTTAAAGACCTAGCCAACAGCAAAATTATTAGTACAAAACCAACATAATAAGAAAAAGGCTGAGACATAAACGCCACCACATCCACATCCTCCAATCACCCTTCCACATCCAGCTCATGTAGGATTGTCAAAGGAAATAGATTATAGAAATAGACGGCAGGTACAACAGCAACAATAACAGCACACCAAGTCGTATATCCTATATTTTGGGTTGGCTGTATGAAAAATCAAACAAAAAAATCAGGTTAGGTTGTAGTTTGAATGTCCTTACGTCACTCATTTCTATTAATAACCATCTTTTCATCTAATTTTTTAATCATCATATCATTTTTTATTACTTACATTCATATATTTCATAGTCTACTTTTAAATGTTTTGATCTCTCTTAAATCTAGAGATTCAATTCTCCTAATCAGTGCATAGTTAGGTTTACGTTTCATATGTTCAAACCATTGCAAATTGCCCTCTCTCATTTTCTCTTCAATTCAAACTATCCTTAATTTTTCTTGAACCTCTTCATTTTTTATTTTGTTTCTTCTAGTCTTACTACACATTCATCTAAACATCCTCATCTCCGCTACGTTCATTTTCTTCTCATGTTGTTTCTTAACAACCAAACACTCAGTTCCATATAATAATGCAGGCCTTACAGTTGTTTTATATAACTTTGCTTTTAATTTTAAAGGCATGTGGTGATCACACAAAACATCTGATGTATTTCACCACCTCGTTCATTTTGCTTGAATCCTATGTTTGACATTTGCTTCTATTTCAGTATCACTTTGAATAATTGATCTCAAATATCAAAATTGGTTACTCTTTGGTATGCTTTCACCATCCAACTTAATCACACTAGTATCCATTTTCTTATGATTACTAAACTTACATTTTATATATTCAGTTTTAGATCTACTCAATTTAAAACCTTAATATTCTAATGTACTCTTCTATAATTTTAATTTCGTATTAAGGGTATCACAAGTTTTAGCAACTAAGACTATAGCGTAGGCAAATAACATACACGATGGTACCTTATCTTGGATACGTATAGTGAATTCATTCATAACTAATGCAAAAAGGAAAAGACTTAGTGTTGAGTCTTGATGTAATCTTGAGATAATAGGGAAGTTCTTTGTCATGTCCTCGACTGTCCTCACATTTGTTACCACTCCTTCATATATATTTTTAACTTTATTGATATATTTTAAAAGGACTCCTTTTTTCATTAAGAGTCACCAAAGCACCTCTCAAGAACTTAATGGTATGCTTTTTCCAAGTTGATAAATATCATATAGATTTTTCTTTCTCACTTGCAAACTCTCTAATAAAAGCTTCAAAAAGTGGATATCCTCTCTTGTGGAGTGTCTTAGCATAAACCAAAATTAGTTTTAAAAAATAATAGCCTTGCATCGCAACTTACATTCAATTTCTTTCTCCCAAAGTTTTATAGTGTGACTCATAAGTTTTATTTTTCTATAGTTCGAACAATCTTGTAAAAAAAAAAAATGGTATGTATTGAGATTTAAATTTTAAATTTATTAAATATTATCTTTTAGGGAATAATTACTGAGATAATTTGAGTTCTCAACGATAAGTATATTGAAAATTAAAAAACTTGAAACTTAACTTAATTGATTCATGTAATTATTATTAACTCTTAAAAGATGACAATTAGCAATAGATCGAAAATTCAAAATTTAAAACTTATAATCTTTTTTCTTATATTTATTATAAAATTTTTAATATGATACTTAAATAAAAAAAAAATTTATTCAAGTATCTAAATCTTATATTTGTGTATTAAATTACTTCAATTTCTTACCACGATAGAATAATATTGATGTGATGTTTAAATACTAAAATTAATGATAATTATTATGTGATTTAAAATATGATTATCTCATTTCATTTTTAAAAAATAAAATAAAAATAAAAATTTTGAAAGTTCTTTTTAATTTTTAAAATAAATTTAAAATTCAAATTTTAAAACTTATAACTTCTTTTATTATATTAAGATGATGCCTTGTAAAAAAAATAACAATAAGGGAAGAATCCAACCCAGACAAAACCTAATGATAACTGGTTTGATTTGTTAGGAGAGACATTGCTTCATGTCTCTAGCTACCTCACACGTGCCACCAATAAACAAAAATAAAGAAAGTCGTAAAGAAATTTTGCAATCAAAATGCACGAATCAAGACGAGGTTCACAAAAACAAAGCCGGCCCTCGATCTGACCCTTCGCTTTGATTCCATGGCCACAACTACCTCCAGATTTCTCCTCCACTAAACCAAGAACATTCCTCAATCTCATCTCCCCATTTCCTCAAAAAATATCTTCAAACCAAAAACCCATCTCTGCCATGGCTGCAACTACCTCTTCTTTGCTCCAATCCAACCCTTTAAAGTCAAAAAAATGTTCTCCCCTTCATTTCCCTTCTCCTTGCTTATCTAACTTTAGAGGAACCTTGACCATTCAAGCCCAAGGTTATGCTAAGTTTCATGTCAAATGCTTCTTCTTCCCTCAGAAGAGGAAGCAGTTAACGAGCTCGAATTTGAATTCCAACGACTTAAGTTCGAGTTCAGATGATAAAAACCCATTTGAGATTATTGCTGAAACAATCTTAAAAGCTTTAAACGCGTTAAAAAAGCCAGCTATAGCTGTGCTTTTATTGGGTTTGTTGTTAATGTATGATCCTAATAACTCAGCATTGGCTGCATCGGGTGGGAGGATGGGAGGACGGTCTTTTTCTTCGAGTTCTTCGTCTTCGAGGAGTTATTCGGTGCCTAGGAATGAAGGGTCGAGTTTTTCTTCGTACACGGTTCCTTATTATGCGCCTACTTCATTTGGTGGTGGTGGTGGGTTTTATATGGGGCCTGCTGTTGGGGTAGGAGTTGTTGCCGGGTCAAGTTTTTCCTTGATTTTGATGGGGTTAGCTGCATTTCTTTTGGTTTCGGGGTTTCTTTCGGATAGGTCTGAGAGTAGTGTGCTTACTGCTAGTAGAAGGACTAGTGTTCTTAAGCTTCAGGTAAGTTTATGGATTTTTTTTTGTTGGTTTTTTAGTTGTTGTTTCTTTTGCTTTAAAGTAGTGAATGGCTTCTGCTAAGTGTGGTAATTAGGATGTGTGGTTTTATCTGAGTTAAAATTGTGACTGCATAGGTGATAAAGTTTTCAATTTTATGTTTGGCAATAATGAATCATTACTGTTTGTTCTGTTATTTAAAGAGAAAGGCAATATTTTGTGCATACTGATCTTGTAGTAATGATGGTGTAGCTGGTTTCTAGATTAAAAAACAACTGTGTTCTAAGAAACTGTTTCTTGTGTTTTTGTGATTGATGAATATCAGCAAGTTGACATCCAACTTCCAAAGTGAAAATGTTACTGACGAGAGATGTGGAAAATTAGGAATATCAACTGCATACATAGGATGTGAAACAAAAATGTCATAGAGGAGGCCGGAGGGTTGCTCAAATGTGAATTTATGTGGAGTCTTTAAACTCAGATAGTGCTAATATGAATTGCTTTTCTATTAAGTTTTGAGACTTAGTTTTGTAAGAATAACTTCTATGTAAAATGAGCTAGACAAGAAAGTGAGATGGACATGAAATTGTGCTGATTACCATGACTAATGGAATTTGTTAGCTATTTGTTGATTTGCAGTCTCACTGTTGTTTTTATCTTTAGGTTGGGTTGTTGGGTATGGGACGATCTCTTCAAAGGGATCTAAATCGGATCGCTGAAGTTGCTGACACTTCTACCTCTGAGGGTCTAAGCTTTGTATTGACAGGTAAAGCTTTCTAATATTGTCTACAGTTGATCCATTTGAGTTTTTTTATACAGGATTAAGTGGCAGATGTTCTGCACATTATGCAGTTTAGGAATGGCAAGATATGACAGATCAAAATGCTATTCCCTTTTCACTGTTGTATCAATCATCTTGACACTAATCTCCCAGTATTAATCCTAGTCATAAAGAAAAAGATAATAACCTAAGAGGCGATGCACAAACCTTATAGCCCTATAGCATAGTTATGCTACTTGTTGTTCTGAAATCAGCTTTAGAAAATAAGACCTGTATGATATATAATCAAATTGCTAACATACAATTATGTCTAATAAGAGGCATAGGCTTTTCCCCTTATTTAGTGATTTAGTTTGATTGAGATGCACATAGATGCCATTTGTTTCAATGCTTCCTTTTATTTTGCTGATGGTTAAATGATCTTTCTCATGCAAGAAATGTAGCTGTTATCTTTCTTCTTTCAGTTTTTCTTTAGCAATACTTATTAATGTATAAGGTGGCCTGGTACTAAGTGGTGTATGTTCTGATAGTTTTCTAAAACATGTCACGTACAATGGCTGTCAGACTAATTATATGTGCTGAGGAAGTTTTACATACCTTTGTTTTTGTTTGCAGAGACAACACTAGCTTTGCTTCGCCATCCTGATTATTGCATCTCTGGTTATTCATCTGTAAGTTAGCCTTTCTTAACTGTTTTGTTTGTCTCCATCGGTGAACTAATTACTGCATGTGGCTAAGCATTTTTGTGCCTCGAGTCCTGGGGAAATGTTCAAGGACAGTCGCATGGTGGTAGATATAAAGATTCTTTGCCCATGCATATAATGCTCTCAAAAACAAAATGCGGTCACGCACTCTGGAATTTGTGTAAGTTGGCAGGTACATAGGTAGAAACACTTCAGCATGCTTCATTAATGGAACAGAAGACAGGGTGGTTCCTTTTTTTTTTGTGTGTGTGGGAATGTTTTAGCAACTCTTATTGTGGATTTAAGTTTTCAGTTTAAGGATTTTGATTCGGATAAGATTTTAGGTTTAAAAAACTTGGATGTAGATGTTCAGTACTATTTCTAATTTATAAAATTGGGAGATATCCAGGACTCTCATTCGTTGCATTCTTTCATTGGGCATATCACTTGAGGGGTCCTTTTATTGATATAATTTCCCTAAAAGTATAACCCTGTGATAATGTAGAACTTTTTCTTTGTGGTTCTAATTTATGAGCTTCAGTTAACTAGACATCATGATTATCTAATGCATGAATGTGTACCTATGATATACTCTGCAGGTGGATGTGAAACGGAGCATAGACGATGGGGAGAAATGCTTTAATCAACTCTCTATTGAAGAACGGGGTAAATTTGATGAAGAGACTCTTGTGAATGTGAACAATATTAAAAGGCAAAGTACAACTAGTCAGAAAGCTAGTGGATTTAGCAATGAGTACATAGTGGTAAGACTTCATTCCTTAACCTACAGCTACTGCAAATGTATTAGGTTGAATGCATTAAAGAGATTATTCTGGACAATATTGTGCACTATGTATATCATCATCCACTCAATGAATTGTATCATGTAAGCATTAGAGGAATCCGTAGACTATGTTTTGTCCGCAAGGAAGGATAGAGAGATATTGCCTCTATAGGAATAGTAATAAACTAGCATTGCAATTGATGTTTGGCCAAAAAAAAAGGCGTTGCAATTGATGTAGTTATGGCATAAGATTCTTCAGCATTCAATTAGTTAACCCTTGTACTATGATGTTGAATTTTCATTTGTCTACATTATGAACCTGTTATTCAAGATACATACACTATGAATGTATAAAATTATGATAGAGTTGCCCATTTTAGGTTTCAGATGGAATAAAGACTGTGATTCAAGTTAATGGTTTCCATAATTCTTTCTTTAATTTTATATCCAATTTCTGAAATTTCAGATAACAATTTTGGTGGCTGCTAAAGGAGTGCATAAATTGCCCCCTATCAATGGAAGTGGAGACTTAAAGGAGGCCTTGCAAAAGCTTGCCTCCATCTCGACAAGCAAAATATTGGTAAGAATTTGCTTATCCCTCAATTATGACTCGTCAAGATTGCTCATTGCTGATATCTCTTTGACTGTCATTCAGGCGGTTGAGGTCTTGTGGACACCTCAGAATGAAAATGACACTCTATCAGAGCGGGAACTACTTGAAGACTACCCGCTTTTGAGGCCTCTATAAAATTTTATAACTAGATACCCTGTATCTTCTCATGAGAGGTATTAATTCGAACTGCTTCTTAGAGCCTTGGGTTCATTTGTATATAATAAATTTAAATTGGTATACAGAGGTTCTGGTTGTCTAAAGATTGATGTGGTCTAGTGAACTGGATTTGTAAACATATAAAGAGAGAGGGTATATTTTTGCTTGAAAGCATTAGTATTTTTTTTCCTTTTTCTCTCTCTGGTCCAACTCCAAGACTATGACCATTACCAATAATCTTTCATCTCAGAGCTCTACTTTTACCTTTTGTTTACCCTTTAGGCAATATAACAGTCCTATCACTTGTGTCGCACATTCTGCCTTTGATTACTTTGTTTTTCATAAAGGCCCGTATTATTTCCTAGAAGTTGGATATCTATCATTTTCAATTGGTTTAGTGATTTTAAAAGATGGTTATGAAATGATCACAACCTCTGTTTTATTCAATCTAGATGCACAGAGCATTTCAGGACTTTGAACTACTCTTAAGTCTATCTAGTGCCTAGTTAAGGATTGAGGCACCAGATATTTCAGATTCTTGTGAAAAAGGGAGCTTTACCTTTTACTAATGGTGGGGTTAGGTGGTTATGTTTTGGTTGTGAATGAAAGTGACTAGAAGTTGATTCAACTTTAAAAGTATTGTCATTATCTCTAGTAATCCACTTATTCCTAATATTCACCACTGCCTGAGATGATACAACTTTATCATGATAAGGTCAAGTGCATTAGTAATATTTGTTTTCTCCTGTATCTTGGGGTGGAAAGTGGTTAGAATTATAGAAGTTTCTTCTCCTTTTTCCTTTTTCCTGTTTACTTTTTATCTTGGTTTTTTTTTTCTTTACTATTGGACAATTCCTTGGGTTTCTTTTTATTTATTTTTAACAAAGAAGGGGTTGTTGGTGTTCGAATTTGAAAGCTAGTTTTATTGGATATTATCTTTTAAGGATGGTTACACGAATCAATTGAGCTAAACTTTGGATTCAATTTCTTAGGTTTCTGTTTCAATGTAAGGGTAGCATACTTAATTAACACACTCTGTTAAGCTTTGGTTTAGGCAAGTTGTTCTAGTGCTGCAAAACTTAGCTTATTCATCGGTGGTAGACTCCATCATGGGTTTTTCACGTTTTGTTGCTCTGGTCTTCGGTCATCCTGATTATAACTGTTTCAGTTGCCACCTTTGAACCCTACCATTAGTGATAAACATTTGAAAGGATGAAGCAATCATTGTTTGTATTACTTGTCATTGACCAGGATATATAACAATCTTTTCTAGCCATGATTGGTTTGTTTGTAGAAGATAAAGACCTTTGTGGAGCTTGATCTCTAGTCAAATACTGCACGATAAGAGTTTGCCTTCTACGATTCCAGGCTTCATGATTCACGCTTGAACGAGACTGTCACTTTTATGAATGAAATATTTCCAAAAGCTTTTGAATTTGAAAATTAAAAAAAAATAATAATTATTAAAATTTAAAATTTAAATCTGTTGAGTGTTATGTTTTAAAAATAATTATATAAACCGGCGGGAATCATTTTTTTTTTCTTTTTTAATCAAAAAGTGGGTCGTAATATGTGAAATAAGCAGAGCGCAAACAAAGGAGGATTGATTTTAATTTAACCCACTGAGATGTGCTTTGCGTGATAAGTCAATGGTGCATGCTTCATTGAAGCATGCGTCGTTTTTTTTTTTTTTTTTTTTTTTTTTTTGAAGTAGTTTAAAATTACCTTTTGAATTTAATTAAAAAAAAAAAAAAAACCCTTTTTCAAGCCCTAAAAGGATTCCACTACTATTTCAAAGTTAGGTAAAAAGCAAAGTTTGCGTGATTGTCATGATCATATTATTAATGTAGGAAAGCTAAAGCTTAAAACTAAAAAGTTTCTCATTTCTCAATCATATTATTACGTTTTTAAAATAAAAAAGTTGGTAAATTTTTTTACCCAAGAGGGTTGATCTCCCCTTTGGCTCTGTAATTGTTAAAATAAAAAATATAAGTATCTTTTTAGGAATTAAAAAAAAATCAAATTACACAGATATGAAACTAATTAATTTTACATGATTTTATAATTTTATTTATGATTAATATTTTAATAAATTGAATATTAAATTCCATAAAACACTCATATGTAAAGTTTTAAATCAATAAGATATTTTTTTTCGTATGGAACAAGAGTTTTTTTATATATATTTAACGATTAAATTTTGTTGTATAAAATATAATTAAATCTTTAATTAATTTAAAGTTTGACATGTATAATTTATATGAATAAAGTATTATATATAATGATTAAATTAAATAAATATAAATCATATAAAAATTATAAAAAATATAATTTGACCAAAGCAAATGAAATTTTCATTACTCAAAGCAGTTAGCTGTACTTTAATTTGTACAATTTGTAAGGGAAGATTGATAAATTGTGGATTTATTATCCGAAAAGATAGCATCAAATCAAAGCCAGCTTAAATGAGGCCAGTTTTGTGGACCAGACTCCTTTCATTGGATCATCTTGGTCATTGTGGGCAACCGCCAAGATTGTGAAGAGATTAGCATGAATGATCTAGCCTTGTGGGTCCATGAAATTTACTTCCATTTTTGAAACCCCCTCTATAATTCACACTGTGGGACCTTTTTGCATCATAGGTTAAAGCTCTTGGAAAATCTCTCATTGGCCAGCTGCCTTTTCATTTTCCTTTTCCTTTTTGTGGGACATGATTGAGCTGGCCAGCTAGAACTGGCATTGCCCCATGGTTCATCCACTCAATTCTCACAGGCATTGCCAATGTGCTTTGGTAAATTCCAAAATGGTTTATTTTTATAGAATCTGAAATCATCTCTCGTTTGATTCATTCAGTCATTTTTAAGAAATTTGTGAAAAAATAACTTATATTTATCATCTTTGTTTAAAATCTTGTACATGCCAATGGTGATGATGGTTGGATAAACGATGATTATGAATATCTTTTTCAAAGTCACTCTTTTACTAAGTTCTAAAATAGGATAAGGAAAGGGGTGGCTCATACTGAAGGTGAAAGAGACATTGCTTAACCAAAAAAGGGTGGATTTCATATTGTACAGCCTCTATAAGTGTACAGAATGCTCAAAAGAAACTCTTGAGGAGTGTCCATGTTTTCCTTTCTTGGAGATTCCATCACCTCAAAACACCGGGCCGAATCGGGGCAGCTCTTCTTGCTGTAGTCATGGAAATCTGAGCTAACATGCCTGTCATGGGCAGAAGGTTTAAGTTCATAGCCAAGGTCTCTTGGTAATGTGCTAGAAGTTAGTAAAAATGAAAACTCATCACTTCTTTTCTTGTTTTTGTTACTGAAATCTGAAGAGTCTGATACAGGTCCTGATTGTTGATCTCTAAGTTCTCTGGCACTATGCCTTGAGCCATCTCAGTTCCTGTTGGACTTCATTCTCGTAATTGTCTGAGAGATCACAATATAATGAATGAACTGAGGAGAAAGAACGAGAACGTGTCAAACACTGGATTGGATTTCTTGCACTAGATGCAATTTTATTTTCTGTTCTCACTTCTTTCTCATCCTTTTCCGAGAAGGATTGATCTGGTTTTTCATACTCTTCATCTGAATGGCTCTGTTTAGAGCCCACTGGACTAAGTTCGCGGCTGCCATGCTGATCCCATATCTCCTGGTAATGCAAATTGTTGGATTGGCTTGATTCATTTGGTGCACCATCTGTCACACAATGCTCAGATTCCTCAACCTGAAAAGTAATCTCTTCAAACCGGCCATGCATTGAAGCACATCCATTTCTACAACACTGAAGAAGTTGCAAGTCTTCGACACCTCCATTATGTGTCCAAAAATCCAAGAGGGAACCAGTAGATGTACGGTTGGAAGCACAATTGTGACAAAAGTTTTGATTCGCAAAGCGGGGTGTTTCCTCAATTCCTGGCCCTGGCCTCCATTCCGGCACTAAGGAAGCAATTTCCCCATCAATCATATCTGCTATTTTAGTCACATCTTGGTCAGTGATATCCAATTCTGCAACCATTTCAGTAGCAACACTCGATGCTGTATCAGTTTCAACGTCGAATGGGAAATATATGTTTCTGATACGACCTGCAAGGTAACAGAAAGAGAGACTACTAGTCAGATTCCGACAAAGAAAAAGTGGAGAAGAAAAGATGAAATAAGTTCCTAACCTTCTTTATCTGCGATCCGGAGTCTCAAAAAGATACCACCATCATCTCTCCTCTTCCCCTTGATGCTTATGTCAAGATTTGCAGCATGTTCATCCTCCTGATGTTCAAAAAGCTCAATTCCACTAGATTCAATCTCAGCAGGATGATAACCCCAATCTTTTGGGGTCTCGTAACCATAACCATTTGAGTATCGATTACTATAAGAATTACTACTGTGATGAAGTTCGAGATACGGTTGCCTAATGAGTCCTTTCCCATATTCTAGTGGTCTCAAATCAGATTCACAATCATCAATCTGGAGAAAAGGATCATTTAACAACTCTCTTGCAGAGAGCCTCAAAGACACAGTTGCCAAGCATTTCTCAACAAATTGTCGGACTTCTGGATCATTCACTTTATACAAAGCATCTGGTTTTCTACCCTAAACGAATAAAGCATGTTAATGGAAATATGGGCATTTCAGCAGATAAAATAAAGCAAAAAAGCAAGTCAAATAAAGGAGAGGGAAAGCTCTTACGGAGACCACTTTCTTATAGATTTGAGCAGGATGAGTGCACTCACTATATGGATATTCAAAAGTAACCATTTCTAAAATGCACATTCCAAATGAATAAATGTCAACTAGTTCATTGTAGGCTTCTTCATACACCTCTGGAGCCATAAACTCTGGTGTTCCTGGAGAAAACAAAGCGCCAAAGAGAAATATGAAATCTAATCTGACTTCAATTTCATCGAAAAAGTTAACTATTTCTCAAATTAGATAGTATCATGAAAATTGGTCAGGTGAAACATACCAACACAGTGAGCAGCATGAGATTTCCGGAGGATTGCAGCGAGGCCGAGATCGCCAATTTTCACTTCTCCTTGGTTTCCATTAACAAAAATGTTGTCACACTTAAGATCTCTATGAATTACTGGGGGATCATGGCTATGGAGATAGAGAAGTCCTCTCAAGATCTGCCTACACCAATGCTTCACTGCTCTGATGTTGACTCTCTTATGCTTTAGCCTATACCTATCATAGCTCAAAAATCAATGGAACCCAATGCAAAAATCAAACATCTGAACAACCCCAACTGATCAAAATTTACATCAAAACAAGATTGTAACAGTTCTCTTACTGTCTTAAAGTTCCAGAAGTGAACATTTCAGTGACAAAGTTAATGTTCCTATTCGCAGTATCAACCCAAGAAGTATAAAACTTCATAATATTCTTGTGCTTCAATGTCTTAAGGAGATGAATCTCACAGTAAAGCCTTTCAAGATCTTCAGGGCTTTGCAAAAAATCATAGAGTTTGACTTGATTCCAAGCAACTTCAATTCCTTCATACTCGTCAAATGCTCTATAACTGCTCCAATCAAATGACCCAACAACTCAGAAATCAACCATCTATATTAAGCCAAAAAACAACAAATAACTCTTGGAAAGATCCAATGGAGCTCAAATTCTGTAAAAATGTTTCCCTATTAGCATATATAACGAAGAAATATGAATTGGATATTAACATAAATGGAATATATATATATATATATATATATATATTGGAGTTATGATTCATACACTATCTTTGAAGCTCCTTTTCCAAGGATTTCATTGTACTGCAACCGAAAAAAAAAAAAGTAAGCCCAAAGGATCAAACTTCAACCTGAAACTCAACAAAGGAGACAGAAAGAACAAAGAAGAACGAGTCTATACTCTGCCATATCTTCCAGTTGGATCAACTTCAACAAACTCAGAGCAATCTGGTTCAAGATGTAAAAGACCATTCATCTTCCAGACAGAAAAAAAAGTTTTATATTTTGTTTGTTATCTTTTTCCTTCCTTTCTTAGGGTGAGAAAAAGATGGAGAGAGAGATGAGAAATGATCAATTCTTCACATGAAAGAAGAAGAAAGAGAGAGTTTTTGAGTTAGAAGACATGTTTCTAGGCAAAGCCAGCCACGTTTTTTGAGGGAATACATACATAAAACCACCCACCTACATGAAGGAACATGACAAATAGAAGAAGAGAGAGAAATCCTTTTAAAAATAACAAAACAATCGACCCCACCTCAGTCTGATGCTCAAATCTGTATCATCTTCCGGTTTTTACATGTTGAAATTTGGACATTAAAAAAAAAAATAGTACAAGTTCTATTGTCAAACTGTTACGATGTAACATTTCCCTGTGTCTGCAATGGACCCAAACTAAACCTCCTAACTTGTACCCAACCAACTCCTTTTTCTTTTTTCTTGATTTTTTTTCTTTACCTATTATTACCAACTATTTAATTAAAAAATAATTACCAAATTCAAAGAAAAAAAATTCAAGCTTAACTTTTTAAACTAAGTCACTTGTTTTTGCTGTTAGACAAGATATCTAAGTGTATTAATCTAGTTATATTTAAAGAAAGCATGAATTTTATTTATTTTTAATCCGAATATAACAATAAAAGATAATGCATTTTAATATTTATTCAATAATTGATATATAATCATTTATTACAAAAATAACTTTAAAATTTTATAAATTTAAGATTTAAATTTAAATATTTTATAAGTTTTTTAACATCTCAAATTGCCACATTTTTATAAAAAAAAGGATCAAATCCCTTTATCAATGACTTTTTCTGTTTGTAATTTAATAAAAATCATTACCAAACAATTTGATTTTCCATTTGTGCCAAACAATAACTCATGAGTTGTGATATGGCAACAAATATGAGCACACAAGGTTTCTTAATTAAATTTTGTGTACGGAATTTTGGCCAAAAAAAAAAAAAGGTGGCTTGTTATATGGTTGAAATTTGCCATGGGCAACTTGGAGGGATAGCTTCTAATAGGTGGAGGCTTGGGCTAATTGGCCGGCTAGCCTTCAATTTAGCATTACAATTAATGCAATATAAACATAGAAATTGTTATAAGAACTTTTCTTTTATCCCAAGGTTTCTTTCGCCAGGTTTAATTCTATCACACCGATAATTGAATTGATTATATCATCAATTAAATTTAAATATTAAATTAAAATTTTTGATTAAAAATTTTTTAATTATAATTTATAATAACTTGTATTATTATTTTTAATTTCACCATAATTAATTTTATCGTCTATTTAAATTGAACCTTAATCAAATTTATCTCAAAATTCTGTTGGGCAATTACAATTGGAAAAAAAAAAAAAAAACAAACTGCAAACTTTACATATGCAAACAAAGTATAAAACGAAAATTGTTGGGATAAGATATATGACAATTATGTCAATTTCAAGTTTATTTTTAATAATTTTAAATTTTATTAAGAGTTGGTGAAGATTAATTTACTTATAAAATAGGCAAATCATTTTTCATTTGAATGAAGTTTGTTGAATTTGAATTTGCTTGCTTTAAACTATTACAAGTTATGTCCAAATCATGTTATCATATCAGTTTTTGACTTTGCCATTCCTTCCAAACCTTGTTGAAGGATGAAAAAAAAAAAAATTAACTCAAGTTAATTTCTAATTGCATAAATCATAACTTAAAAATTTCACGTTTATAAGCTTTATGTTTACGAAAGAAAAAAAGCACAAAAAAGATCATAATATGAAATAAAAAGAGAGTTACGATGTTGATATTTAAACTTTAAATTTATTAAATTTTTATTTTTAAAAATAATTATATAAATTAATTAAGTTAAATTACAAATTCAATATCTCTTTCCACTTGTTTTATGTTTAAGCTTGCTTTTAAATTCTACAACTTAAAATAATAATAAAAAAATCTTACATTGCATAAGGACTTAAAGGAGATTATCAATGACATCTAATTAAAATTAAAAGGGTATTAATTAAAAGTGGGGATTTGTTTTGGCCAATAAAATGGGTTTACTATATAATAGTTAATAATTGTATTGGTACAATTAATTAATTAATTAATGAAAATTAATAAAAGATAAGCAAGAACAAGGACTTATCAATTATCACGCAAATAAGGTTTACTATAATTCCTAAAGAAGAACATATAAGCAAGCTTCCTCCCCAATCACAAGCGTCTCTTTTCAAATTTTCCGCTTTGAAAATGTCATTTTACTTCGTTTTCTCTTTTGACAACAAAGAAATTTAGACCTTAATGATCCCATCTAAGCTATATGTTTGGTTTTCATAATTCAATTATTATTGATTTTTTTTGTAAAAAAGAGGCTGCGGTTTGCAAAAAAATAAATAAATAAGCGTTGAAATATAAACACTAGATTTATTATTATTTTTTAAATGGTTATATCAATTAATTAAGTTAAATTTTGAGTTTTAAGATTAAAAACTTAAAAAAAAAAAAGACTTAATTGATATTTTTGGGATATAGTAGGTTTCATTTATATATATAGATGGTAAAGGATGATATTTGTATTTCTCTAATTAAAACTATATAAGATTTGAACGGAATATTTCTATAAAAATTATTCAAGTTTCTTAATATAAGCAGATCATATCTTAAAATTTGTTGCTTGATATTAATATCATTTCGATGTTGCTGTTAATCTTGTTCATCGATGATTTTGACACTTAATACAAGTTAATTGAGAAATCTTAAGAACATTTTTTGTAAAAATTTATATGACGAGAATTATGAGTATTGATAATAAAAATACACACACATATATATATAATTCTTAATTTGTAATTAAAAGCTTATTTATTGATTTATTTAATGAAAACTTGATTTAGAAAATCTCTTAATTAGTTACAAATTTTATAATATCTTGTTCAAATATCCCTAAAGAGCCAACAAATTAATCCTAAAAAATTTAATGATTTTAAATTTTATTAAGAGTTGGTGAAGATTAATTTACTTATAAATAGGCAAATCATTTTTCATTTGAATGAAGTTTGTTGAATTTGAATTTGCTTGCTTTAAACTATTACAAGTTAAGTCCCAATCATGTTATCATATGAGTTTTTGACTTTGCCATTCCTTTTAAACCTTGTGAAAGATGAAAAAAAAAAAAAAAAAAAAAAGAAGGAAGGAAATGTTAACTCAAGCTAATTTCTAACTGCATAAATCACAACTTTAAATTCTTACATTTATAAGTTTTATGTTTTAGAAAAAATAAAAAAAAATCTTAATATAAAGATAGGAAAAGGGTTACGGTATTGGAATTCGAATTTCAAATTTGTGAAATTTTTACTTTTAAAAATAATTACATAAATCAATTAAATTAAGTTTCATATTCGATATTTCTTTGTACTTGCTTCTACAACTTAAAATTTAAAAAAATAAAAAAAAATCTTACAACTCATAAGGACTTAAGTATATTATAAATGACATTTAACTAAAATTAAAAGGGTATTAATTAAAAGTGGGGATTTGTTTTGGCCAATAAAATGGGTTTAATATATAATTGTTAGTAATTGTTTTGGTACAATTCATTAATTAATTATTGAAAATTAATAAAAAAAATAAGCCAGAGCAAGGACTTATCAGTTATCACCCAAATAAGGTTGACTATAATTCCTAAAGAAGAACATATAAGCAAGCTTTCTCCCCCATCAAAAGCATGGGTCTCTACAAATTTTCCTTACCGAATATGTCCTTTCACTTTCTTTTCTCTTTGGACAACAAAGATATTTAGACCTTAGTGATCCCATCTAATCTATATATTAGGCTTACATAACTCAATAATTATAAGGCATTGATTAAAATTTTTTTTAAATGAAGTTACGGCCTAAAAATATAAAAAGAGTTATTGGTATCGAAACTTGAACTCTAAACCTATTAATATTTTCTCTTAGGCTTTATTTGTAATGAAAAATAAAAAATTTATTAATCATATGCTTAAAATTCCTACTCACTTTCACTTTGTAATTTAACCGTTAGATTAGCAAGTTTTACTTTTTTCTACAAAGAAAGCCTTAAATATGGTTGTATTAACCAATTAAGATAAATTTAGAATTTTTTAATTTAATGCTTAATTGATATTTTTGGGATATAATGTGTTTCATTAATATATATGAATTGTCAATTTAAACAAACAATTTGGACTTGGATGATATTTATATTTCTCTTATTAAAATTATATAAGATTTGAATAGAATATTTTTAGGAAAATGATTCAAGTTTGTTAATAAAATTATATCATGTCTTAAAATTTATTTACTTGATATTAACATCATTCGTTGTCGATGTTAATGTTACTAATCGGTAATTTTAACACTTAATATAAGTTAATTGAGAAAGCTTAAGAATATTTATGTAAAATTTTGCATAACAAAACTTATGAGTGTCGATAATGAAAACAGTCATATACACACGCATATATATATATATATATAGTTCTTAATTAGTAATTAAAAAACTTATTTATTGATGTATTTAGTGAAAACTTGATTTAGAAAATGTTTTAATTAGGTACAAATTTTATAATATCTTGTTCAAATGTCCCTAAAGAGCCAACAAATTAAACCCAAAAAAAATTAGCTGACCAAGTGTCTAGTTTGGGTGTTAGGGCACAATCTCATGGCAATGGAAATCTCAATTTCTCATGCAAATCCATGCACAAGACTCTGCCACTGGCCATGCTGAAAAATGTCCGGTCTAATTCATTGCCTAAAACATTTCTTAGACAGCTTTGGCGAAAGGGCTTGTTTGGTAGGGTAACCCTTAAATCAACTTAGGGCAACTCTTTTAAAAATTGGAATCTTGATAGTGATGTACAATCAGCCAAACAACCCATAGATTAATGTTTCTCTTTTTTGCTTGGTTCCATGATTTTTTTTCCCCAAAAGTTTATGTGGGTGCCCTTTGATTTCATTTGATCTCCTTTAGATACCTAGTTAGATTTTTTTGTTCAATTGATTAATTTTTTAATTTTTTTAAAAAACAATTATCACATTCACTAACAAGAAAATTTTTAAACTTCACTGTAAAATTTAGCATAATGACATATATCTCATAGGATATAACAAAAAAAAAAAAAGGAAAAAAATACATGACAGACTCTTAATCATGTTTGTAGAATTAATAAAAAAAAAATCCATTATCCATGTATAAAAAACATTTTTTTTATATTGAATATGAATACGTATTTGATTCTTCTAGAAAGGTTAGTAGTTGCTTTTATGAAAAGTTAAACATTTTTTTTTATTGTGATAAGCATGACATTAACATTTATCAATTCTATATATCTTAATGCGCCTTAATATTTCCACTCACTTCTTTTACATGCAAGATTAGTTTATAACCAAGTAAAGGAAATCATGGCTAAAAATGTAATATATGTAAGTTATATTGTGAGAAATTGCTTCTTAATTAGGTTTTTCTTCTCGTATTTTGGTTTCAATTTAGGAATTTTCAATTTTATTAATTACTTGAACTAAACCCTAAATTATTCCAATCC